TGGCCGTTGGCTCAGATGGAAAGTTCACACTGAAAGTTTGTTGTTGTTAAGTGCCTGGAGTCGGTCCCAACTCATAGCAATTCCAGGTTCAACAGAAGGAAGCACTGCTCCCTCCCAATCCGCTGTGCGGGGGCCCATTGTGGCAGTCACTGGGCTTATCCACCTGGTTGAGGGTCTTCCTCATTTTTTGCTGACCCTCTACTTTCCCAAGCATGAACCTCCTATTAAGTTGTCCCAGGCTCCACTAAACTCTCACCTCCTCAGGCTAGTAGAGTTGATGAACAAAGAGCTGCGATGATTGGAGAGCACTGGTTTTTAAATACATAACAGGCTTCTTACGTGAGCAGGGCAGGCGTGGTGCCCAGCGAGCTGAGTTCTCCACCTGAGGGATGAGTGGAAGTGAAGCTCTGAGGACAGAGGTGGTATATGGGCCTTCTGGGCCCTGCAAAGCCTGACACACAGTAGGTGCTTTGTCAGTGCGAGCTGATTGCGTGAGTGAATGAATGTGTGCTGGGTGTGCTGGACTCACGTCCCGGAAGGGCCGACACCTGTAGAAAACAGCCTGGAACTTCAGGGGTACCGGGAGCCTGGATGTGGGCTGCGGGGTTCAGCCCTCTGCAAAACAGGCAGATCTTTCTGGGCTTTGGAAGGATTCTTTCTTTTACAGACACACACACACACACACACACACACACACGCACACACACTCTTGTCCTTCTGTGAAACGCACAGGGACAGTAGAATTGGTGGACAATTCATTCATTCACTGCTAACCTGAGGTTCCTGGGAAGTAGGGGAAAGGTGAGGCTGGATTGAGGTCCCTATGTATGCCCTAAAGGGGTGGTTGTCACACAGGGTTTTGAAATGGGTACAGACAGCATGACCTTGTTTGCAGAATCCTACCTGTAATGATCCCATTCATGCTTTCAAGGGCACCGAGCTGGGGAAAGGGGGACAGGCAAAATTGAAGGCTTGAGACCAGTGAGGAAGGTGATCATAGTCCTAACTAGAAAAGGAAGAGAACCCTGGTCATGAAGATGAAGATGGTCAAAGCTGATGATCTCTGACTGCCCCCACCTCCAGGAAGCCTTCCCTGATTTCCTCCACCTTCTCCCAAGACTTCCATTTGGGACTCCAATCTGAGGCTCTGGCTCTAAACTCTCAGACTGTCCCCGCTGGACAGCCCCTTAGGCTCAGCAGAGGTTAGGCATGTTGGTAAACTGAGGCTGGGTGAAAGGGACTGTACATATCTGAACTCACACCAGGTGGTGACATCAGGACTGAGACCCCCTGTGCCGACTTCCCAGCCAGTCCTGCTGTGTTCTTCCAGCCTTTCTGCCTTCCAGGAGGGAGGAGGTTCTACCAGCGCTGGCTGCCAAGGCCCAGGAAAACACATTTTTTCCCTCTGTCCTCACAAAGCAAGCAAAAAGCAGCCAGAGAGCCCCATACCAGTGGGTGGGCCGCCTGCTGGGTAGCTGTGGTTCTAGGGACTGGAATGGCCTAAGAGGGGCGGGGACAGAGGGGCTGTGGCTGCTGATTGAGTAAGGCAGCTATCAATCTTCCCAAGAAAGAGCTGGTTCTCAAAAGTCCCTGCAAGAATGCTAGGAACCTGCTTGCACTGGAGGTCAGCTCCACTGGTCTGTCAGTGACAAGGAAAAGAAGGGCGAGGCTGACATTGAAGGAAGAGTCCTGAGCTGGGGCACCTGGACTTCTGGACTCCTGGCTTCCAGCCCACCTGCACCACGACCACCACTGCCACCACCACTAGACAACTGCTTGTTGCCATGTTTGCAGAACAAGGGGTCCTTCCATACCCCAGTTCCAGTCAGCTGCCTGACAGAGGCAGCATGGCAGGGAACCCAGACCCCTAGCTGGAGCTGGAGCCTAAGAGCCTGAGGTTGTCAGACTTCCCCCTTCCTGGGACGCTGGCTCTGTGACTGCCCAACTTTGCTGAGCTAGAACATTCCTGGGCAAACATGGGTGCCTCAGCTGACGTCCAGGGTGTAGTCAGGGGACTGAGGCTGCAGCAGACGGGCCCCAGGAAGGAAGGGAAGGTTCAGCACTTCCCGTGGCCTGGGACGTACTTAGGGTCACAACCAGCTAGACAGATGGGTCCTTCTACCGTTCTCCAGATTGGGGTCGACCGTCCTAGAACGCTGAGCTGAGGGTTTTGAGCCCGTGTACAAGCTCAAGGAAAAGCAGGGTTGTGCTGAGAAGGGTCTGTGTTGCCGCCTTAGTGGGAAAAGTACTGTGATCAATTAGTGATCTCTGTACTGGGAGTGAGTGGGGGTCCATGGGTCACTCCTGATCTAAGTTGCTTGTATTTTTATATATTAGTCACTCTGTGGGAAGTTCTGGTGACCTAGAGGCAAAGGAGGTGCACTGTCAATCCTAAGGTAAACAGTTCAAATCCACCAGCTACTCCACAGGAGAAGGATGGGGATTCTTCTTGTACAGTTTACAGCTGACCCTCCTGGATAGTCCGCTCTGAGTTGATGCTGATCAGATGCACACAGCAACAACAGCAGCTGTAGGCACACTGCGTGGTTCTGTGTCTGCTGAATCCGCGTGGACATCGGGACTGTGTGCATCTTCACTTTGTTGGTGGGGTTAGGTGCTATGGCGTGGGGACTCACAGCGACCCTGTCGACAGCAGAGGTAGTAGCCCTGCCTGGCCATGTGCCCACAGCCTCACATGCCTGTTGCAGTCACTGTGACAACCCATCTCATTGAGGGTCTGTCTTCCTCTTTCTGGCTGACCTTCCACTTTTCCAAGCATGATGTCCTTCTCCTGGGACTGGCCCCTCGTGATCACATGTCTTCAGCATGCTGACTCCACTTTAGAAGTGAGGACACCAAGGTCCCCAAGGGAGAAGTGTTTAGCGTGGGGGACTCACGCCTCCTGGTTTACATCAGCACCCAGCAGGCTGTGCTGCCTCCCAGGGAGAGGCATCCCCTCCCCCAGCAGGTGTTTCTGTGTAGAAACTGCACCTGCTCCCCAAGTAGCTGACCAAGAGGGACCTGGGTATTTGCATATCATTTGCATATCACAAGCAGGCTGTACACAAATCTTGGCACTTCAGAGCTGGTGTGACCTTGGAGATGGTGAACTTTGCCTCCTCATCACAGAGGTGGGGAAATAGGGCCCAGAGAGGGGGCCCTGGTGGGAGGAGGCATGCGGATCACTCCTGCAGGCTGTGTGACCCTGGGCTACTTGATTGACTTCTCTGGAGAGGCAGGGGTAGGGGGGTGGTGAAGGGCTCTGAAGCCTTGCCAGATGCTCAGAACTCCTCCCACTTTGGGGTGAGGCAGCCACTCCCCACTGTCTAACTCCAGGCCAGTGCACCCCTCCCAGTAGTATTTCCTCTTAGGTAACATGAGGAGGTGGGCAGATGGTCCTTATGGCTGGTTCCTGCTGTTCCCCCGGTAACCCGGGCAAGCCAGCAGATGGTGAGTCAGGGCAAAGCCCAGCACTGTCCACAGACCTGGCTGTCCCCTAGAGGGACACTAATACCAGTGCCCTACCCTGGGCCTATTCTTCTCACTTCTACCTATACGAGCTCTTCTCTCCATCCAAACCCTGTGGGACATTGTTCCCATTCTACAGATGGGAAGGTAGAGGCCCAGAGAGATGAAGTGGCTGGCACACAGTCTAGAGGAAACAGAGATGGAACTTAAACCTAGACTTGACTTTCAAACCAAGGTTCCTGTCTCCATTTCCCGTACTCCACCAGGGCCTCTGTCATGTGGAAGGGACTGTCTGCTCCCCCTCAGTCTCCTGGCCCCTATGGACCACCCTCACCAAGCCAGAAGCATGAAAGGGAGGATCTGGAGATGGGCTGCTTCTTTCTGACGTATTCAGCTAGGCTGGGGTTAGAACATGGAGAGCCTGGTGTCATAGTCGACACCCACTCACCCACCCCTCACCGGGGCTCTGCTGGGTGACTGCGTGAGCCCAGGGTTGACTCATTCTGATCCCTGCCCAGTGGGGGGACAAGGACACAGCCTTACAACACAAGGGAAGCAGGGCTGGGGTGGGAAGTATCGATCATGTCCTGGGGGTCATGGAGGGCTTTCTGGAGGAGGCATCTTTGAAGGGACAGAAGGAATCTGCTAGGGAGGGAAGATGGATGCTTATAGGCAAGGGGTGTGAGGAACTGGAACCGAAAGAAATTCCTGATGACTGGCGTGCAGAGTGGAGGTGGCAACGGCTGACGATGAGCCTGAGGCAGGGCACCAGGCTGGGGGCCATGTGTCTGGGTCTAGAGTCCAGAAAATGGGGAGCCAGAGGGAGTATTTGTCTAGGTGAGAGATGACACCTGAGCTTTTTGTGTAAAGGATGAGCTGAGGACTTGTGTCACCCAGAGGTGAGACCCACGGGGCCCTCCCAGATGTGTGGGCACATCAAGAACTTTACAGGGCCTGCATGGAATGGAGGGATTGGGGCACGGTGAGGGCTCTCTGAGAATCTCCAGATAGTGGCTCTGAGCAGTCAGGGTGGTTGGCAGGGTCATGTGATATGCCCAGGTAAAATGAGGGCATCGAGACCCAAAGAAGAGCTAGGTGGACAGCCCTACAGGGGGTTAAAGTTCTAGCAGGGAAACTGAGGCCAGAGGCCAAGCTCAGCTCACATATTCAAGAACACCCCCTCCTATTAAAACAGTAACATGATGTAACAGAAGGGATGGCCCAGTCAGGGAAGACCTCTTGGAGGAGGTGGTCATTGGGCAAAGACCTAAATGATGAGGAGTCATTACAGGAAGATAAGAGGGAAGAGAACAGAAGTCATGTGAACAGTAAGTGCAAAGGCCCAGGGGTGAGGTAGGCATTCAAGGAGAACCCTGGCTGGGCTGTTGGGATGGAGTTGGGTGGTATAAGTTCTGAGAAAGGCAGGTGCCTTGAAGGGCCAAGGAAACCAGTATGGATTTCTAAGTAAAAGGAAAGTGACCTTGGCATCCTCTCTCCCTAGGGTTGCAACTCAAAGGGGCCCCTCCGCAAACATGTCTGTGGACCCCTTATCCAGCAAAGCTCTGAAGGTAAGGAGGTAGCCCCCCACACTGCCTTTGCATCCCAACTTCCCCCTCAATTCCTGGAAACTCAAATGCTGGTTCAGAACACCTGATGCGGGGGAGGGGGCCCCCTAGACTGGGCTGTGTGCCCCCTGGGCAGGTCACTTCCCTCTCTGGGCCTGCTTCCTCATTGAGACAACGCCCACTGGGCTGCAGGACCTCATGGGGCTTTCCAGACTAAATTCTCAATCTCAGGCCAGGACAAGGATCGATCTGCCCATCTGCCGGACCTAGCCTGGTCTTTCGTGACCCTTGAGTGTGTTCCGGCCCTGTTTGGCTGGCTCCTCCTCTTTTATCCCCTTCCTCCTCCCCTTCAGGGTTATGGAACCCAGATGGTGAAGCGGGGAGGAGGTGCTGGAGATCTAGCCCAGCACCTGACGCGCCAGGCTCAGGGCTTCCAACCCCCAGGCTGGGGGTGGAGGGAATGACCCCAGTCTCAGTTTCCCCGTGCATCCACTGCGTTTGCCCGCAGATCAAGCGCGAGCTGAGTGAGAACACGCCGCATCTGTCCGACGAGGCGCTGATGGGGCTGTCGGTGCGCGAGCTCAACCGCCACCTGCGCGGGCTGTCGGCCGAGGAGGTGACGCGGCTCAAGCAGCGGCGGCGCACGCTCAAGAACCGCGGCTACGCGGCCAGCTGCCGGGTAAAGCGCGTGTGCCAGAAGGAGGAGCTGCAGAAGCAGAAGTCGGAGCTGGAGCGCGAGGTGGACAAGCTGGCACGCGAGAACGCCGCCATGCGCCTGGAGCTGGACGCGCTGCGCGGCAAGTGCGAGGCGCTGCAGGGCTTTGCGCGCTCCGTGGCGGCCGCCCGCGGGCCCGCGGCGCTGGTGGCTCCCGCCAGCGTCATCACCATTGTCAAGTCCGCCCCTGCTCCCGCCCCCGGCCCGGACCCCGGGCCCGCCCCGGGCCCCGCCCCCTGCTCCTAGTGCCTGGCGAACCTGCTTGGCCCCGCCCTGTCCCTCCAGGCCACACCCCTCGGACCCTTCCCGCCCTCTCGCTCCCTTCCAAAGTGCCTCATCGCCGTCTGACCCGGGTCTCATTGCTCTGCAGCCACCAGCTTTCCCCAGGCAGGGCCCGAGCTGGGACTGATTAGCCCTGGGAAGAAGTGTCCTCGGCAGGATAGAGGATAGACGTGTCCCCTGGCAGAGTTCAAAATGCAGAACTAGCTCAGAGAAGACCCGAGGGGGAGGAGCCACCTTCCTCTTGAAAACTCTGGGTTCAGACTGTGCCAGCGCATCTCACTCCCACCCCAAGGGTCAAAGGTAGCTTGGCGATGGGACTGCCTGGCTGGACATGCACTGAAGAAGATGCCCCCACCTGTGCTTTGGACGGAGGGTGCTGGGTTTTCCAAAGTTGGAAGAGTTGTTAGAGACTTCACCGACTGAAGCCCAGTTAACAGATAGGAAAACTGAGGCTTCGGATGGGTATGACAGTCCTCGTGGCCACGTGTCACTTAGTGCTTAAGCTAGGACCGAAAGCTGGTCTTCCCACTGCTGTCTCAAGATTCCAGCTGGGGTTTTTAGGGGGACAGTGGACAGGGGCTGAAAAAAAAAGATGTGAAGTAGAAGGAGAGAGGATGTGAGACAGATGGAAGAGCAGAAAGAGAGGGGCTGGCTCTGGGCTGGGCCAGACAGCCAAAGCCAGAGCACTGGCCAGTCAAGAAGGATGACTGTGGAGGTGACCACTGTGAAGGGGACAAGAGAGCAGATTCAGTTGTCCTATTACAAGGAGGGTCCTTAAAAGGGAATGGCCCACCTCGTCCCTGTGAATGTCCACTGTGGGGTGAAGGTGGAACCACTGTCTGATTGCCATGTTCCTGAGGATTCCAGCCCCAACCATCCCCCCTACACTGTATCCCCTCCCCCTCCCCCATGTTTATTTATTGCACGAATCTAAGTTATTCTCCCAGCCAGAGCCCTGGCGTCTACTCCCTGCAGAAAGTGGCAGTGTGATTCTGAGCTGGAATTTATATTTTATATCTGCAAATAAATCACATTTTATCTTATATTTAGGGAGAGCTGGGCAATAACCAGAACCAAAAGTCTAAAAAAAAAAAAATTGCCCAACTCCAGAATTTATTTATTTTCTGACTTCAAGTGAGCGTGTTCTTTGCCTTCTGTATTTTGTAGACTTTCTGAATAAAGTCAAATTCTTTTTTCAGAGAAAAAAAAAGTGTGTCTTTGGGCTATGTTTGTGGGGGAGGGGGCTTGAGTGGGGGTCCTAAAAATGGAGCTTGCTTTAGATTCCATCCAGGACCTGCTGGTAGCTGAACGCTGGCCCCATTCTGCTGAGCAAGTCACCACGTTCTTGTCATGAGCTCTGCTCAAGGTGGGGAGTACAATGGGGAAAGAGTACCGAAATCTGTGCCCACTGGTTCAGTTGCCAGGGTCAGAGAAAAGGCAGCCAGGCCAGGGTGGTAAAATTCGAGGTTAAATTTCCAGGGCATCCCTTCAGCACCAGTTAAACAGTCCTGCTCTGAGGAAAATTCCTGGATTTTGGGCTAATCTTTTCAAGCAATTTCATATAAACGTTTGATTTTCTACAGCCAAACAGAAAATCTTTCCCCCATGTTCTGGAAGGCAAAGGGAGGGGAGGAGGGCAGCTTGCTCATCCTGCTGGCCCACCAGGCAGCCCGGGTCTTGTGCTAGGCCCCCAACTCTGGTATTTCAAAGCCATATGCTAGCCTTTCTGGGCAGCCTGCAAAAGAATGCAGAGTTCCAGGGGCAACGGGTCAGAGAAACTGGGATTAGAACCCAGGACGTCCGGCTTTCCCCGTGTGGCCTTTAACAACTTCTTTGGCTTCTCCTAACCTCAGCTGCTCCATTGGAGGCAGATGTGACAAACTGCTCCCATGAGGATTACAGTGAATGACGGAGTTCTACTCTGTCCCACGGGGCCACTCAGTCAAAATGCGTTCAGCAGCACTTACCTGCAAGCCTCAGCTCACCCTGGTGGTGTGAAAATTGGCTACTAGCCGAAAGGTTGGCAGTTCAAATCTACCTAGTGGCGCCACAGGAAAGGCCTAGTGATTTGCTTCCATAAAGACTGTGTTGTTGTTGTTGTGTACTGTCAAGTTGAAACTGATCCTCCAGCAGGTTTTCAGAGACAGTTAATCGTAGGGAAGGAGACTGCCCATCTACATCAAGTTGAAAACAGACTCAATGGTGCAGAGGGGACTGCAGGAAGTCAGACATAGAGCTTCCTTACAAGGACGCTGCCAGAGGTGAGGTGAGGTGAGGTAACAGACCAGCACAGCATACGGCAGGCAGCCTTGTCCACAGGCCTGTTCCCCTCAGAGGCCAGGTCTGGGCTTTCCCAGTCCGCTCAGTGACCTGAAACGCTGAGCTCAGGCGGGCAGAAAGGGCAACAAGTTGGGATATTTACCTCCGGGCTGAGGCGGCTGGGAATTTCCCCACCCACGCTGCCTGCATTCCTGAGGGTTTTTGCCAGCAGCCGCCAGGCCCCTGGAGGCACGGAGGCGGTGGGCAGGGGCCCTGCACAGCCAAGCATCAAGCCTCATGGCAGGCCCGGTGGCCTCCTGCCCGGCCGCCTCAGCCTGGCCCCCTGGAAGGGCTGGGGATCCTGGGAAATCCTCTCCACAGTCACAGATCCCTGTGGGAGGGGGTTCCCTCAACTTCTAGTACCAGCAGTTTGCCAGGTGGAGTGAGGGAGGGGGGCCTGTGACAAAGCCAGCCGGAGCACGGCCAGGGTCCACGAGAGCCTGAGACCGCCATGCCGGCATGTGGCACACAGGAAGGACTAGGGGCTCCTTTTGCCTGGCCCTGCCCCTGCCCCTAACCATTACCCCTCCCCTACCATGTCCGTGCGGGCGGAGCCGAATCAGGAAGAGAAGCAGGAGGCAGGCAGGAGAGATTTCATACAATCTATATTCTCAGATAGACATTTCTCTCTCACTGTATTTGCTCACTTGTCACACATTTTAAAATGTCATGGCGACCAAAATAGAGCGGCTCTCTGGTGGACCTCAAGGCAGTCATACACGGATACAAAACTAGGGGCTCTGTCTTCTCATACATCATACAGTTAAGTTTTCAAGTATGATTTTATGTACAAAGAGCTACTCTAGCAGGAAAACAATTAAAAAAAAAAGATAAGGTAGGTTACGCATCCCAGGAAGGGGGTACCAGCCTCATCTCCCCCGTGGACCACTGGCTTCCGGCCCCAGAGTCCTCTACCCACCCTGCTCGTGAGCAGATGCCGGGGGCCACACGCTTTGGCCTGGGAGAGAACGGGGGCTTTCAGGACTTGGAAAAGCCGAGAGGGAGAGAGGTCGAGGTTTGTCCTTAGAGACTGCACCTGCCCATCACCTCCCCCAGGATGGCCCCGTGGACACCCTGCAAAGGGCAGGTCTTGCCACAAGAGCCAGGAAGACCCCAGGATGGTACCCTCACCGTGCCCCTCGTCACCTCTCTCAGGAGGGCACCCATTTGCTCCTGAGTGACCGACAGAACAAGGCTCCAATGTCCTGGTGCCACAGGCTGCCCCCACTCCAGGCTGTCCTGTCACAGCCCTCAGGGTCCCATAGGACAGGCCGCCCTGCCGGTACGAAGAGGCAAAGATGACTCTTCCCATCTGGGCGCAAAGAGAGGGGGCTGGTGGTCCTGGCCATTCCTGAGGCCTGATCGTCCAAGTTACCCCCAGTGGGGTGAGGGGCAGAGTGGGGCCCAGGACAGGGAAGCTTTCATGTGTGACTAAGGCACAGAAGAGATGGGCGTGGGGCTGGACAGGGCAGGACAGTGGGCTCTGTGTGGGTCTGGGGCCAGGGGCTGGAGGCCCCCCTACCCCTTCCCAGGGCTGTATTACTGGGGACGTGACCCTGAAATGCAAGGTTGAGGACCTGCCCACCAACAAGGATGGATCTTGGGAGACCAACAGCAGAGGTGCCAAGAGCTCACCTGGGGAGGCGTGCCAGACCCTGAGCAGCCAAGAAGGACTGTGCCCAGAATGAGGTCAAAAAGGGCCCCAAGGGAGAGAGCACTGGGCTGCTGGCTGTCTGAAGCAGGGAGGAAGAGGAGGCCAGGGAGAGGACCCCACTTCCCTGGAGAGGCCCCACAGAGACAGCAGGGGCCCGAGGCACCAGCGCACTACCCAAGCAGACCACGGCTTGCAGAGTCTGGCTCTGATCCTTGCAGCATGGGTCAGGGGTCCACTGAGGGTCGTGCTTTCTCCTCCCTCCCATCGGGTGAGGGTGGGTCAGCACTGGACCTGGGGCGGGGGGAGCAGGCGGGGAAGTACTGGGCCTCAATATTGCACAGCTGCAGGGGTGGGAGCTAAGGCCCCAGGACCTCAGTGTTGGGGTCTGAGGGCAGGGCAGTAACCTGGGGGACGGGCCTGGGAAGGCAGTGGCCACTAAGTCCACAAAGCATTTGGACCTGGTCTTTGCTGGTCCCAGCGTGAGCCCCACAGGCCAAGCAGTGGGGCAGGGGAGGTGCTCTCGGGTCTTGCACCCCATGAGGCAGTACAGGGGGACCCGTTTGGGCGCATTCCTGAAGGCTCATGGGGAGCCTGGCTCTCCCAGGCAAAGAGCATCAGGCCTTTTCCTCTGGAAGTGATATGTGTTTCTGGTCCAATAAATTAAAGGGCATCGCTCAAGCTGAGCTGGCCATCTTCTGGCCTGACCACCGACCCCGCGACCCCCACTGTCCACTGCTAGAACTCATCGTCCGAGCTTAGCAGCAGGGTCTTCTCGTTGTCCCGGGCACCGCTGAGGCTGTGGGAACGTGAGAGGCCCTGGGCGCCACCCCGCCAGGTGGGGCCCGGCTCCAGGGTGGACTGCTGCGTGTACTGCTGGTAGGCGGGCGAGAAGTTGTGGATGGCGTCCTGCACTATGTCGTGTGGGTTCATGGTCTCCTTGAGGCTGCTGGAGATGCTCTTCATGGGCGCACAGCGGCCTGCGGGTGGGAGG